GGCTATTACAAACAAACGCGGCAATCTTCTTTTTTCCCCGGCAACTGATCATTATTACAATGATAAGCTGTTCTTGACGTAGATCTTCGTAATGAATTGTGCGCTGGTCTATGAAATCAAAAGTTGCCTTGTGCTAGGCTCTACACAACAACACAACTTTTTGGTAATCAGTCGAGATGACAAATGATGCGTGTGCATTTGAATGAATCAGTCTTTTTTTACACAGCTCATAATATGCAGGCATTTCAGGCAATTCTTGTGACTTTTCTTTATACATTACTTGCTCAGTGACTGTAATTATCTACACAAAACCTCGTGTTTGCTATAACGAACACTCGGATTCAACGAGCTTTTTGGTCAAGCCCGGCAACCGCGTTGAATCCCAGTTCAACTGTATAATTGAAATCACCAATGAATGATACACAAAAACCCAAAAGAGGGCAAACAGCAAGTGGACAGGCACTCGTAAAGTATCAGGCAGTACAAGAAATGTTTACTCTACTCAATAGAATCTCTAGCAACCAATCGATAGTGACACATGAGTTTACAACTTAAAATACTTAGATCTAATCTAGAAATCTAGACTAGAGAGTAGGAGTAGGGTAAAGCTGACATTCCATATATGCCCGAAAAACCGATGCGAACTTCGGGTGGGAATTTCGCTTGCGAACTATTTTTTTCGCACCAACCTTTTTGTCATTGTCACAAGTGTAAATCCATATGGAATTTCGCATGGCCGAGTCCGAAATTCGCATGCGAAGATTTTGTTTCGCACGAGGGAGCGAAACTTTTTTCTTCGGAACGCGAATTCTTCGTGAAGTGGGTGAGGCTAATTTTCCGCCAAATCTACTTCAACAAAGGAACGCAAAGCAGCATGGAAGCACTAGGTAAGTGAGAAAACGTCGAAATGTTGATTTCCTTGGTTCGAGAGAGAAGTGTTAAAACTAAGACTGTAAAAATGTGTTTATTTTCAAGGTGGCTGCCATGACTTTTTTAAAAAGTATATGGGAAACTTTCGGTAGTCTAAGTAATCTATCTATCTATGCTATCATTTATCGTTTAAATCATGTAATAACAAAAATAGCATTTCACTTACCCCCTACTCAGTGACGGTGGGTCGTGAAGGGCTCACGGGCTTGAGCCCCCCTCTCCACCCCCAAGTCTATCCCAAGGCAAATGAAAATAACGAAATAAGCAGTTGAAACTGTTCTGATCGACCGCAATGAACACAGGGCTACACAGGGTGATCAACTTGGCGGCTTGCTCGTTTATCCAATCACGGTTGTCCCCGCTTACAACTATAGTAACCTAACAGCCAATCAAATGTCTTTAGGGCTCAGCAATCAATCAGCCCATTCCCACGGTCTCTCCTTAATGAAACCCCTCGTGTAAAAAGGTAGAAGACTTGCAAAAAATAACACTGCACAGAGGGCTCACGCTCTCCCAGCCCTGACAATGAGGTGAAAGTTTACGACACACTTTCCCCCAGTGACACAGTTACCTATGCGCCCATTGGGTCTTTGTTAGGCGCGTTCTATTTTCTGCAACAACACGACCCAAACCCACCTCATACACGGTGTGTGTTTGGAGAGCTGTGTGTTTGTGCCGCTGAGATTTAACAGTTAATAATTACATCAAACCACTTTTGAGGCGACTTTTTCATCAAATAAAAACTAATTAGAGAAATTTTGAGGTGAAACGGATTCGTCCCCACCATCCAGAAGAATTAAACGTAGAACAAAGAGATGGCAAACAAAGGTGATTCTTCTCGTTTGAATGGTTCTCAAAATGCCGTGGCTCGCCGTGAGTATAGAAAAAGCATCACTGTGTTGTTCTTATTGCTTGCTTTTTGGTGGTAAAGAAGTGGAAGAAACCTAAGCCCCACCCAAATCTAAGTTCACCCACCGCCACTGCCCCTACTCCTTAAAAATGCACTTGAATATAACTTCTAACATAACATTAATTATAAATATAAACTTAAGATTGCTGTATGTGCTGCAGCCACATCAGTCAGTGCCATCAGTGATAAGACTGAAGCTTCGAAAAGAAAACGACCCAAGAAAGCAAAGCCTATTCCATGAAGGAAGGACCATCATCAAGTCTGGACGAAGCAATTTAAAGCCTGCTTTCGTAGGAACAGGAGTTCTAACAGCAAAATTCTCTCGTTTTCAACGTAGAGTGCTTGCTCTGACTGAACTGGTGCCGTGATTTCAGTCAGAAATGACGGGTATGAATTTCGGGTATATATGGAAGGAGGGCTCTCTTTTCATCGCACCCGAATTTCGTACACGAAATTCGCACCCGCAGTTCACATCGGTTTTTCGGGCATATAGATCTATATGGAATGCCAGCTTAAGTAAGGGTGGGCAAGGAAAGAAAAGAAAATCGTTGGGACTAAAACTGGTTATCCGGTGCGAATCGTACATTAGTTATTAGTTCGGTTGCAGAGTGGTTTCTGATTAAAAGTTAATGTATTCAGTCTTCACTGATGATAGTATAGAGATTCTACTTTTTTCACTTGTTGATTGACACCAACTTAACAACACGGAAGTGGCTATTCTCATCCGGGGTGAGAATAGAAAAACGATCTACCTCTCACCCCGGGTGAGACGTGCCAGCGTAGGCTATTCTCACCCGGTGCGAAACAAGACCTGCTTTCCTCATTTTAGTTTTAGAATACTGTCTATCG